GTGTCGAATCGTACGTTGTCGAATAATTTGGTGTCGAATCGTACGGTGTCAAATAATTTGATGTCGAAGAAATCTGTGTCCAATAATTTTGTGTCCAATAATGTGGTGTCGAATCGATCGGTGTCGAATCGTACTGTGGTCAATAGAGTATCACCCCCCGGCTTGTACTACAAAAAATACTGAACAATGCTTCACGCTAGCGAAAAGTGGAGACTAGTTGTAAAATTGGACGTATCAACGGTATACACAAGAACGGAACGAACGGAACGTATGTTAGACTATACAGCTAAGGCGTGCAAAAACGCGGCGATAACGCGCAGGAACAGAGAACTGTGCGAGGGGTTTGCCGCGGAGTTACAACAAAGATTGCAAAAAGTAGAAAAAGTAGTAAAACGCGTTAAAACTATAGTGGGAACACAAAAACGTCGTCAAGTTTCCACTAGTAGCTCCGGTAGAGTACGACTTGTTGAGGGTAATGCCCTTGCCGGTGTACGACCACGATAATGTTTTTAAAGTCGCAAAAGTAAAGTTCGAGATAGTTGCAATAGATGAAAATAAACAAACATACTCCGTTGTAAAATTGCTTCAGCTAGAAAAATGTAAAAACGTTGGAGATAATTATGTCTGCGATAATATGGAATCGGTGTACAAGGTACACGCGGACGCACCATGCAAGGTGCAGGCATATGTTAGTAATTCAGGGGAATTTTCCACTTGTAAAGAGGAAACTATGATTTCGAATTACACGATATGGATAAGGCTAGAAAAAGCGCGTGTATGGCTGTACTCAATCCCGAAAAGCGAGTCGGTGGTAATATCGTGCGAAAACCGAAAAGAAGCACCGGAAATTGTAAACGAAGTCGGAGAGATAAAGTTGTCGGAAAAGTGTAAGTAGGTGACGTCAACTGTAACGATTCGCACCAACAAGGTGATGAACGGTGAACAAATTAACACGTATTTGCGATTCAACCTTTCAGTGTTAAAAGCAAAAGAACGGGCGGTTGGTGAAGAACCGATTGTGTTAGAAAACATAACACAGAGTAAAACGCAAATTGAAAAAGTAAAGTCAGAAATAACGGAACTAACGGACGAAATAAACGAGAGTTCGTTTTTTGAAAATCCGCATCTTATCTATCCGACTACGTCAGGTGTGACGATAATAGTAGTAATTATTGTAGTAATTTTATATAAAATAGTAAAAAGTAAAGAAAAGGCGGAATTGACACGCGGCGCCGTGAAGTCGCGTAACGCGGAACAGTGTGAAAAGCGGCAAAACGCTCGCGCGCAAAACGCCGAGACCATCGCGCTGTAAGTATGCCGCGTAGTATAGCATGTAAGATGTAAAGGTAGTGTAAGAAACATGCAAAAATTGCACACAAGTAGGTAAAAATTGTGACGAAAAATGTTACGAACATTTTCCTTTTTCCCGGAAGGGGGGAAATGTTGTGCGCCAATTTTTGTATTTAAGAAGTAAGATGAGGCCATTGAGCAATGTGATGAGACACTATCATTGCTCAATGACCTAGTTAAGTTGCAGGAAGGCAGCAGTTCTAAGAAGAACTGCTAGTTACCACAGGGTGCGACACATCGCCGCATTGTCCGAAGTGCAACGCAGCATGTGTCGACACCGGCACCGGTAAGGCCTGGTTTATGCGGGCAATAACTGTTAACTTATGCCGGAACCGGTAGAGTTTAACTATAGGATTCCAATACTTCTGTTTATACGCATTCGGCAATTTCGTATAAACAGAAGTATTAAAATCATATAGTTAAACTTTACCGGTTCCGGCATAAGTTAACGGTTATTGCTCGCATAAACCAGGCCTAACTAGCACGGCCGTTGCTAGGACCGGTGGGCCTGCTGAATCAGCGCGATCGATCTACTATAAATTGATCGCGTGGATGAAGCAGAGGAGAGACCGTGATTAGACTGCTAGCTCAATGTGTGGCTCCGCAAGCCAGAGAGTTTACCGCAGTGAGATACAGCCGTGTAAGGAACATTGTAAAGAACAGGAGTAATAAAGGATATTCTAATAAGTTCTTCAAACCACCCAACCTCCTCGACATCCAACATCTGTATCAACAGATCTTGAACAGATCTTAATTTTTAATGGTTTTNAAATTTATTAGTTTCAGCAATATGATGTTAAAAAAGTCCCCTTTGGCAGTATAAGGGTAAAAAATAGCCAGCACACATTGAATGTAAATGTTTTGTAATAACTTTTACATCAACACACGTTTACAAAAACATCTCTAGGAAAAAAAATAAAGCAACTTATACACTACAAAAAAGACATTCTAATTTACATTTTTGCAGTTAAAAAAACCATTTAACAAAACTTGTATTTTTATTTTTGTCTTTTACTTACACTGGCTTCTTTGTTTTTACTTTTACATATATACTGTCTGCTGAATGTTGGACATTCTTTATAAGTTCCTCTTTTTCTCTTTCTCAGTTAGTGTTTGTGACACACATAATAATACGCGCATATACTCATATTTAATTTATTAAAAAATTTGTGTTTCTGAATGTTATATGTAAAAGACATTTGTGACATTGAAACACAAATGTAATATTGCGTTTTGTTTAAAAGATGTATAAGTGTTCTATGTTTTTTTCTACATAAGTATTACATGTTTTTGGGAATAACAGTACAATATTCTGTAAAATAACTTTGTCTTACACTGTAACATTGTGTATTCTTACACATATATATTTTTTAACATTTACAAATGTGTTCTAAAAAAATTGTAATAAAAAATGGGCCTCTCCACCGCCCATTTTCGTGAAACGCGACCTAAATTCTTTTCTTCTAATCGTTTCTCCGTTTTCTTTGCTACAGGAATAATGCCAATACGTATTTTGCTATAAAATAATACGTTTTTGTTAAAACAATAACCGTTAATTTTGTCAATTTTATTGACATAACATATATATACTGCATATATATATATTCTACATATATATGCAACATACTTCAAAATATTAGTTTTTTTACTATTAATATTATGTTTTCCTGTAAATTTTTGCAATTTTTGAAAACAATTATTTTTTCAATTATGTCATGCATACTATTGTTTCGGAAAATGCGACAATTTTCTCATTTCAACAATATTATAAAAATGTTTCCCCATACGAGTCATGTCTTTTGAATAGTTTACATTACTAAGATTTTTATCTACAAACCTAACATTAAATCTGTAGCAAAAGCTGCAACACGAATACCACAAGAATAATTGTCTTCTTGTGCTTGAACTGTTTCAAAAATTTTATCTTTTAGTTTTATGTGTGGGAATCGAGCTTTGATATACTCCTTCTCTTGTTGTACCAATCTTTTATACAAAGACGAACAATCAGCTATGCTGTCATATATACGAAGGGTCTTTTTGTCGTAAAAGAGGCATCGCCAATGATTTGTACACTTTCCCCCAATAATTTGAACGCTTTGTTGATTATAGGGTTTTATTATATCTGGAGTTTCAATATAATGTACGCTTTGTGTTTCAGAAGGAAAACTTTCTTTGACAACGCGTAAAAATAAATCCAATGACTGATCGTCAAGTTGGCTTGTTTCAGGCAAAATGTTATTCTTGACATCGACTAGAGAAATTGGCATTTTATCTATAAATTTTTTACGATTGGCAATTTCACTATCTCTTGTAGGATACTTTTTGTAATAATAACTTGTTATTGTGCAATCATCATCTTCATTTTGTGAAGAAATGCCAACAGTAGCACTTTTTGTCTCTAGAGAATCGTTACTTCTTATCTTTTTCTCCTGCACATTTACACATTGCTGTGTCTTGCTTGTGCGACTAGATACTTTTGCACTTGCTTTGTCTTGCGCTTGCACTATATATTGCGGATTTCTGATCGGCATGTGTCTATTATGCCGACTATCTACAATTTCTGGAAGCAGACATTTGTAGTAAAAACATTTTAGAAGAAGCAGCATTCGATTTTGTCAAAACTCATTGTCTCTAAGAACATATATAGTTTTCATACTTTTAGGCGTCCATAAAGCAAATATACAATAATCTTGTCTTGTAATGTTTAACTAGCCTTAAATTTGATGAAAGAATTTGTGATTACAATTTAATTTATTTTTATTGTTCTTATCAAAAATTGCTTTTAAGTTTGGAAGTGTCTGTATAGCCTCTTCCGCTGTTATATCTTCTGCTGAAAAAAGACATTTTATTTCTACTAAACCGTTCTCGTCAGCGAGTCCATCGGGAGAAGCGCCCAAAAATGGGTTTTTGCTATTAATAAATAATCCACATGTTTAAATTTCTTTATGTTTGCAACTAATTTTTTTCTTGCTGTTTCCTCATTTTCTCGACCATACTTCATGGCTGATTTATTGATATATGAAAGAAACAAGATATTTTTAACTATCATTGCACAAGACGTTGTTTCTCTCATACGACATACGTCTCCAAAATGAGATGCTGTTAGTATCTCTTTCCTCAAAATGTGCCACAAGTCACAATCACTCTGCCCTCTTGTATTACGCTCTATTTCTCGCCAATTACGTCCATTTTCCGACAATCAATCCATATGATTTTTCTTTAATATTTCAAATATCTCTGGTACCAAATCTGGTTTCCGATTGCAGACCGTAATGGCTTTCTGTTCCTACATCTTGTAAATAATACAGTAAATACAACCCTCACGTTAATAATTATTTCATACTCTGCCAAAAAGTTAATGGAAATCCTGAACTAAAATATTCCACATTAAATCCTGATATCAACTCAGATTCACCTTCAATAAACTCTATAGAGCTTCGGTTTAACTCAGCTACAATACTACTAAAAAAAACTAAAGTTATGGGTAAAACTATAAAAAATTTCAACATCAGTTTTGTCATATTAACAAAGTAATAAAAGTAAAACCTTCTTTCACCACCATAATCTTTTTTCACTACTAATATAATTAAAATGAATCTAACTTCATAAGAAATCATCTGTAAAACTGAACCTTGCAACCGACGGGCTTGGATGCTATAGTTACAGCAAGAAAGGGGCACCAAACGTCGGGAAGCCAACATGGAAAGTGACATTTACCGAAAATGACAGTTTTAAAGGGCAATCAGCCAGAAGTTTAATTTTGTTTTTGTTTTATTTTTATTTCTTTTTTGTTTTGTTGTCCGCAGCAAGCGTAGTTAGCTGCGTGCGAGAAAAAAGTATTTATGTTTGCGCTCAGGGTACGTACTGCCCGGTGAGGTTAGTCTAAGTCGGACAAGTTTCTTTCCGTTTTATTTAAAGGTTTGTTTTATTTTAGAGTAATCCCCTGAGATTAGGGATTACTCGCTAAACTGACATTTCACGGAATTGACCAAGTTCGTACGGTTGGCAATTTCAATGATGAGTGAAACCCCGAAATCGGTTTCTGTGAAAGTTTGGTTGTTAAACAAAGATTTAGCATTGTACTTACGGGTGTTAAGTTTTCCACGAGGTCCAGACGGAGCCAGGTCAGCCTGAGGGTCCCGCGATGATCACCTGACACAAAAAGAAAAAGATTAGTAAAAAACTCATTGTCAACCGGAGTTATTGGTTAAGTTAACCAGAAGGCCAGACTAGTGTCAAGGAAATGATTGATGGATTTCTACTCAAAATTGAAATTGTTAATATTATTACCCCGAATTGGACAATTGTTAACAAACACAGATTTGACAAATTTTAACCGAGACAAGACATGAGCTCCACGCAAGAGGGAGCATGGTAGGATAAATGATGTGCTGAGGGAGTGTGAATGTAATATTCACTACGGCCGGGCAAATCAACCGACGCACTGTAGTGCTAGGGAACGGTTTAGCTCGAGATGAAAAATAATAAAAAGAGTAAGGTAAAAGTTTCGGATCGGTTCGAACTGTTTGGGTGTTTAGAACGAGTTGTCGGACAAAATCACAGGTTAATCTTTTCATGAGGTAACCGGGGTCTAACATCGCCCGTGGTGAACAAGTGTTAGGAGTTCACAAAATTCCAGTTGTTGACGAAACTCGGTGAGTGGAAAGGACTTCGGAAGATAAGATGGATTGTAAGGTTTCGCAAAAAATTAAAGTGTTAGGTCCTAACCTTGACTTGGTGCGAGAGTTAGAACCTAACCCTAACGAAAAGTGTCTTCGTTGGTAAAAACTGCGTCAGCAATAAGATCTGCGTTAGATTAGGTGCCTCACCAAGTTTCACCAATGACTGGTAAGTTAGGTACTAACCTCAAGTAATCGAGCCAAAACCTAACCTTGCGAAAAGTGGTAATTGTCAGCGAAACCACTCCGGTGTACGGTAGGTTGAATGCTACACCTAGTTTAGGCAACAGTCCAAAAGTTAGGGACTAACCTCGAGTTGAGGTAAAGTTACGAACTTACGAATCCTCGGCGGCCTGCGACTCAGGAGATGGAAGCTAATAACACCCAAAGGCGCAGAAGACGACGCGCTGGAAGAACTGCGGCGGTGGCTATCCGTGCCCCCTCTGGCCAGAAATCGGTGTCATACGCCGAGATAATAAAAACCGCTCGCAGTAAAGTAAAGTTGAAGGATCTTGGAATAGAGGATACCCGGATCCGCAAAGACGTTGGAGGAGGAATCATCGTTGAGATCCCCGGCCAGGGTGGACAGGAGAAAGCCGATCTTTTGGCTGACGCNTTAACTGGCGCCCTTGAAGGAGCAGCAGTGGTCACCCGTCCGGTAAGGAAAAGAGAGCTACGCGTAACGGGATTGGATGATTCGGTGGAACCCAGTGATGTGGTAAGGGCAATCCTTGATGGAGACTATGGCGCGCGTCGTGAAGCAGATGTCATTGCTGGCCCCATACGAGTAGGGCGAAACGGCCTGGGCACGTTATGGCTACGATGTCCGGTAGAAACGGCGGAGAAAGTGGCAGAAGGAGGTAGATTGCGCGTGGGATGGTCCTCGGCCAGGGTCACGCTTTTACCGCCGCGACAACTCCAGTGCTATCGATGCCTGGAGTATGGCCATATTAAGCAGATGTGCCGCAACGTAGAGGATAGAAGTGCGGCCTGCTATAGGTGCGGAANAAATGGCCATAAGGCAAGAGATTGCGCTGAACGTGCACACTGCGTGCTCTGTGAATCGCGCGGCCTTGAACCCAACCACAGAGCGGGGGGGGCGTCCTGCACATCTCAAACCAAAGGCAGGAACGGACGACAAGTGCCCCCAGAGCGGAGGAGCGAGGGGCAGACACAAATGATGGAGGTGGACCAGAATGGACCAGTTAATACAAATTAACGTTAACCATTCTGGCCCGGCGCAGGACNTGCTCCAACAGGTCATGCGGGAAAGAGGAGCGGGACTTGCGGCGGTGTCCGAACCTCACAGGCCCCCTACCACCTCGAATTGGGCAGTGGATCAGGATGGAGTAGCGGCGCTGACATGGTTACCGCAGGGAAGCCGCTCGGTGATCGGTATGCATGCAAGAGGACCGGGCTTTGTGGCGGTCAAGTGGGGGGAAATAGTAGTGTATAGTTGCTACTATTCCCCCAACCAAGACAGAGAGGAATTCGAGGACCGCTTGGATCTCCTGGCTGATAGCGTGCGAGGAGTGAGGGGCGAGCCCACACTGGTGCTAGGCGATTTCAATGCATGGTCGACTCAGTGGGGTTCCCCCTCTACTAACGCTAGAGGACGCGCGGTGGAGGCGTGGGCAGCCGCGGCCGGCCTCCATGTTCTGAATAGGGGACGGTATTTCACCTGCGTTCGTCCGCAGGGAGCTTCCAGGATTGATCTGTCGTGGGCGTCCAGTGCTGCNGCTCCATTGGTGGAACGATGGAGGGTTCTAGTTAACGTGGAGTCGCTGTCGGACCATCGATATGTAGCACTGACGGTGAAGCAAATAACAGGAAGAGATGGTCAAATAAAGATGGAACGGTCCCCTAAGTGGAAGCTGGAAAAGTGGGACAAAGATCGGTTCAAGGCAGCGATCTTGGGAGCAACCTGGAACGAATCGGAGCATGAGGGTTGGTCGGCAGAAGAAGAAACGACGTGGATGGTGGAGGTCGTGAGAAACGCAAGCGATGCGTCAATGCCGAGGGTACGCGGCGCCTTTACTCTTCGCAAGCAGGTCTATTGGTGGTCGGAAAAAGTAGCCGCGTTAAGAAAAGAGTGCGTTGGACATCGAAGACGATACACAAGGGTACGAAAGCGTTATGGTCAAAGAGCGCCCGGTATAGTCGAGGAGGTCAGAGTTGGATTTCGGGAAGCGCAACGGGCCCTCCGCAAGGCCATAATTGAGGCGAAAAAAGAAGCGTGGATGTCTCTGACACAGACAATAGATAAGGACCCTTGGGGCACCCCATACCGGATGGTGTTATCCCGGCTGAGAACCGCGGGACCCCCTATAACAGCGACGGTGGAGGTCAAAGATGCCCGGAAAATCGTACAGGCCCTGTTCCCCACGCGGACAGACGGGGAATACACGGGAGAGCAAGAACGAATCCCCTGGAATCCAACGTACGACGTCAGCGAGGAAGAATTGGAGGAAGCGGTACGAAAGATCATGGGTAAGAAAACGGCACCTGGACCGGACGGACTATCATGTCCGGTATGGGCTTTAGCGGCAAAAACGGCGCCGGATGTCATCAGGAGATGTTTTAATAAGTGCATGCAGGCTGGAAAATTCCCGAACATCTGGAAGAAAGGAAGGCTGGTGTTGGTGCCAAAGCCGGGACGCTCGGGAGGTGACCCGTCATCATACAGGCCGTTATGCTTGCTTGATGATATTGGAAAGCTTTTCGAGCGGATACTGGCAAAACGGATTGAGGCGCACCTAAGTGTAACAGGCGGATTGTCGGACAGACAATATGGCTTCCGACCGATGAGGTCCACGATTGATGCGGTGCTAAGGGTACGACAAATNGTTAAGGAACATCTTGTGCAAGGAAGAGTATGCGTGGCAGTGAGCCTCGATGTGCAAAACGCATTTAATAGCTTGTCCTGGGTAGCTGTGAGAAAGACAATAAGAAAGCGGGGACTTCCAACCTACCTGCAAAAAACCCTGGAAAGTTATTTTGAAAACAGAAAGGTTACTTACCTGTGCAAGGACGGCAGGAAAAGGAGACACGGGATGACATGCGGGGTCCCACAGGGCTCGGTCCTGGGACCACT